AGACATTCTAATGAGAAACTTGCATTCTACCATCTCTCTCTTGTTAACCAGAACCGATCATGGTCGTTGATCACCTTGTCTTTGGGCGTGCGTTGATGAACGTTGATCTTATGACCTCGAGATTGGCAGTTGTACACTGCTAGTACGCTCAAGGTTAATGGCCATTAAAATATCGGTGCATAAATTGTATTCCTAGTTGCCTCGACAGGTTCATGAAATACGATTGTCAAACTCGACAAGTATATATTGACCATTAATATAAACGGTAGCGCAAATGAATGCTTAGCTTAAAATTGTCGAATATTCTTTACATGCACATTGATTAACTGATATTGACTTTGGGTTCAAAATAATTTTTTTTATTATTAGTACCAGCACAAGCAAGTTTACTCTCCTTTATTCGGCTTGCAACGAAGATGACGAGGGTGGTGGGAGTGCAGATGTGATCTTTTTCTAGGTCTTTCACGTCGTCTTCCCTCCTTCTACGCTATCTCTTAATGAGGACGACATTGATCGATCTAAGTGGGGGGAGGGGGAGAGGGGGGGAAGTGGTTAGTTTGACAGTTGCATTTGTGGATGATGAATAAGATGATGATGATGAGAAGGAGGAGGAGAAAGGTTGGGGAGGGGTAGAAGATGTGACTGATAGCGGGTAGCCAGGAGAGGGTGGGGAAGTGGGTTTTGCAGCAGTTGTGTGACCCCGCTGTCGGCCACTGTGGTGTGGTGTAGTGTGCTGGGTGTATAGGTGCGCACTTACCCATTTAGAAATCATTTGGTGATGTACTTTCGTACTTTTCGAAATACCATAAATGGCCCACTTTATTGTCTCTAATCTTTACATAGGGGAATATATCGACTCTACGGTACTGTGGCTATCTCTCTTTCTTCCCCACGAAGGTAGGCGTGCCTACTTCATTCATTTGAATTTGGATCGCCTGCTTATTTTAGTCCCACACCTTTCATAAACCGCTATTATGCTATTTGAAGATAGTAACAAAGAGTCGCCTTTACCGATTTGGTTTGGAACATAATATAAGGAAATAAAATCTTGAATCGAGACTCTATGATGAGCTGGTCTTATAAATGCATATATAGTAAATCAACGAAATTCGAAATGCGTATCATCTGATGAGGCGATTAGTGGACTTAAAATAGTTTTTTAAATTAAATTTATTGCCAAATAATGGTGTCCTTGCTATAACTGCAATGGCATTTAATTTCTCACGTGTTTGTGAAGGATGTCTGATATTTTTTACATTTTACGTTTTTCATTATGGTAATTTTACGCAAATTTTAATGAAATCGTAAACAACTCAAGCTTCTTTGAATAAAGATGTCTGAGTAGTTACCAACTTTAAAATATAATTGCTACTGAAATATATTTTAGCGAAATCGATGGAATGAATAGTGGAAAATGAGTAATTTAACAATTTTTATAACAAACGAGATTTTTCAGTTCCTTATTTTTGTCCAATTACTCTAATTGTATTTATAAAAGTTCTAAACGTCGTTCAAATGAAAGGCGTTTATACCGATCGATTTACACTTCTGATAAGTAACATTACTGAAACGACCGCCTTTCGTGTTACAATGTTACAATGTTACTGAAACGGTAACAGGCTTTGACTTATTGTTCGCCATCGGATATGAGACAGATTTCGCTAAGCCTTCTACGAAGTCTCATATCATCGCTTCGAAGACATGCTTCATTTTCATGTCGATCGACCACAGCTACAAGCCAAACAGAATCAGAACAACGGCGAGTAGGAATGAGGAATAAACTAGGCCACTTTTGTGCTCCAATAAGGAGTGGTAAAGAATTAAATAGCGGCGTAAATGCAATAGATCGACAGCTTGCTGCAGAAGGTACTGGCTTGAGGAACCGGCTGACCCGTGAAGGAGCTGAAGAGAAGAGCGGGGAGAGTAGAAGCTGATTGCTATGTTGTAAAAGTCTCGAGTAAGGTATTTTTGGTACACAGTTGATAGAAACAATGGAAATAGTTTCTAGTGCGTAAAATTTGGTTAAAGGAGGAATTCTGAGGTTTTTTATTAGGAGTTTGGTAGACATAACAGGGCAATATCAACATTGCTATCATTTTATCAGGCTGATAAGCGAGCATTTAGAAAGGCTCTCTCCGCCCCTCTGAAAATATAAAAATTGGGTTACCAACTCATGGGACTATAATAAGAAAATAAATTTTGGTGTTAAGATTATAATTAACAAAAATTTAACCACAAAAGAATGAAATTAATTTCTCTTGTATCAAATCACAGAACCGACAAAGGTATAAAGTAATAACATCAAAGATTGACTTTGAAAGATTCATAGGATATACAATTTAATGACTATTTCTTTGTCGAAAAGGCGATACAACTTCATTTTAATCGTATAAATCTTCATTTAATTTTAAGTATAATCAGGAGGTAGCAGTATTGAAATGTGTATCTTATTTTTGGACTCAGAAAGTGAGCCTTAATATTCTAATCTTATTTCCTACGTCCATATATAAAAAATACTCACGAATTTGAGACGGCAAAGAAAGATAGAAAAGAAAGTTTACGATGCAAATATAAGACAAAAACTAAGGCATCATTGTCTGGAGTTTATTTATAGCAAAATTGTGCGAACTCTGCTTCGCTAAACCATGCCATCTTGATATTAGCAGAGGTAAACATTTAAGAAGATCTAGACATCATGGACATGACAACTTCTAAGAATAGAGCAAAATCTTCGAATACTATAAAGCAGTGAATTATGCCCATTAATTGCAAAGGATAAAGCTTGACTCTGTGGAGTAACATGAGTAAAGTAAGTAATCTCATGCGTATTCGAACAACTTTGGAGAGTGAGGTCGGGAGTGCAGAGAGTTCCTCAGCTAGTTAAGTATTAAGGTTCATTCAATTTATGTGAACTTTATTCAGTGACTAACCTTGTTTGCTTTGAGCATAATAACAATAAACGCTATTCTTGTCATATGTCTGTTAAAGTCTTTACTAATCCCACTCGACTTTCTATACTTGGATATTTTGTAGTAGAGATTACTGGAACTATGTCATGGCTTATTAGCGAAGCAACCCACTGCAGTGCAAAATCAACAGCTAATTCTTAAATCTTTTGACATCCTGGCAATAGACTCTTATTTCACTTGCACCCTCCTCGTTCCATTGAATTAAAAACGACACGTTTTCACATTTTCAAGCAAAAATGTTTTTTTTCACAACTTTTGACTTTCAATACGCATAACTCTTGTTTACGCACATTTTCACACACACACACACACACACACGCACACACACACACATGAAAAAAAGAATTTTTTCTTCTAAAAAGAACTGGTAATATTTTCCTGAAACAGACACGACTGCTCGTAGGTGCTTGCTCAAATAAAACGGGATGGATTTCTCCAAACTCTCCTCTTCGCCTTATTTATAGGCTGTGCTGAGACTGAAATACACTCAGGGTCAATATCCACGGTGTGCAAACTTGTCTGCAATAGTCTAGCCAAAACGTCCTCCTTAACTTCTTGACTTATTATCCTGGTCTGAGACCAATGGTATATCTGGTTCTGTTCTCCTGCATTTGTCGTAGAACTGTTATAATTACCGAAATCGGGATTAGTATCAATTCTAACTTCTTGATTTACTGTTCTTAATCGCAAGGACGAACTATTCACTCTGGCTAACGATGCGCCTTAATCGTAAGTCTGACAAGGACCAGCGTTTTTTTAGGATCTAGGCAGCCGAGGCAGCCTGAAAAAGTCAGCGTAATGCAAGTGGAAAGGCCGAATGCGTTGCCATTAGCCCAAATGTTCCCGTCAACTCTTTTTTTTCACGGCGGGAGAATGGTGGAATATAAATTAGTCGAGGCTTTCGGGTTTTTAACATTGACGATTACTAGAAGGAGTGGGAATGAATAGGCGAAATAAGTTTTCTTTGGACGATAAAGTGATAGATGAGCAATAGACGTAGTCCTACTGATTGTCAGAAAGAATAGTTCCCCAATGTGGAACCGAACTTATTGATATTGAGAGCCTCCATTTATGAAAATTTACTATTTGCTTGATGTAGGTGACTTTAGGGTATGTGAATATAGACACAAATTTAATTAATTTATCCGCATTTGGAGTAAATGCACACACTGATAAAATTACTAGATCAGAAGAAAATCGAAACCCCTCCTTCCTCCCCACCCCACAACCCCACATGTCTTTACACACCCAAGTACTTCTTGAAATTGATGTCAAAAGTCTACCGATAGAATAAGTAACAACTAAAGAGGGAAGTAGAATATGTCAGTCCCTGAAAGCTAACTTGAATAAGAACTGTGCATCAATAAAGTGCGCCGGTGTTGTGGTGACCAGATGTCGCGGCTTGAGTACCCATTGGTGCATGTCCTAGGAATGGCATATCTTACCATACAAGGTATAGATGGCCGGAAGAGAGAGAGAGATGACAAAATGTATTTCACATAGGAACCTCCTGGATACCATGTGTCAACGACAAGGGTCGGAAGCAACTTTCATTAAACGGGCTTGGGACTTATGCATCGGAATCAAACCGCCAAACATTTCCCGAAATAGGCAATGATTGAGTACTTAAATTTCTTGATCAAGTATCGGCGAAAAGAGATAAACAAATTTGACACTCAATATCAGCTTGAGGAAAACACTACATTTAAGTCTTAGCTTCGATAGTTGACACTTAAATAAATTTAATGCAAACTTTAAGTAGAGTTCTGATATAAAATCGCTCTCAATTGAATTTATTGACGAATTAGAGAAATATGAGTGGATAAATTAGCGATTATTTCCCTCGGAAAATCGCGTTCTCACGTTTATTTTGGCTTATAATCACACTTTCCTGCCTAACTACATTCGTAAGCCAATATGTTGATGTATATTAGAAAAAAAACAAAATTAGATTTGTTCAAGAGCAGAATAGAGAGTCTGTTGCTCTGCCAAACGCCTTATTCTATGTCCAGGGTCTTGGTTAATAGGGCGGGAATTGAGATTGTTATTAAATAACAACGTCTAGACTTTTTCCTAACTAAGGGGGGATAAAATGAATTAACGTGATTATTAGATTAGTTTATTATTATGGGGAAGTTAACTAACCAAGTTTTGTGGATTTCTGACTGATCAGCATGGGACCTCCTGTTTATTCTACTTCGACTAAGTTAAATTACTATTGAGCTGAATGCTTGTGAGTGAGGAAAATGGAATGAATTCTTCTTCTCAGTTAATCACCTCGGCTACATCTATTTTCCTTCTGTAGTTTTAATGATTGATGGGAAAGTACATTTTCATTTTACACTCTAACTGCACTTTTCTGCGATAGACTTACCTTCACGTGGTGTACTCTAGGCAATATGTACTCATATGGCAAAAGGTCTATAAACTGGCAGTTGACTTCTCACTTCAAACAACCATGACCTGACTGTATGTCATTTTCCACCACTTCCACAGTACTCTGTGAATCACTCTTCTATTCCATCTCTCGACTTTTGTGACTTTGATGTTCCTCCCCTCTGTCAAGCCCGAAGTCGACTAAAGGGCTAATGATAACTATCATAAAACTTACCATTTGATATAAATAAATACTTCGTCTTCACTGTGCCCCTATATTGAAAATGTCTTAAGAAGGTGATCTGGTAACAAATTCATTCCTTCAACTTCGATTCCTCAAAAATTTCGAAATCAACAACCGCCCAGCAGCAAGCAGTCTTCATAGTTTTAAATTACTCTCCTTGACTGACAGATTTGCATATTTTAGCTGACATTTCAATTAATTAATTTTGGTAGACCCTCAATCACTCTATTTTTTTTCTATCTTGAAAAGTGACCTGAATTATTTGGCTACTCTGAGGTCGATCTAGGTTACTCACAGATTTCAATCCTTTTTTTCAAATGGCAGGCATTTTGTTAGTTATCATTAGCCCTT